CAACATACATAAGACAAAACTAAAAGTTTCAAAAATAGCAAATTAAAATAATAAATAGTCTCCTAATAGAAAATAGCCCTAATTATAAATTAAAAAAAATATATGAAATGTCAAAAAAAAGCAAAATTTCCAACCGAATTCGATAATGAGGCAGGAATTTATGGTTCGCCGATCTCATGATTACATGATCTCCCGATTCATCAGTATTGCATAATTCCCGTGATTGATGCCTAGCACCTCATGTCACTCTCTTGGGTTATGTGAGGCTTTTTTCTCTAGAAACACTTGGATACCAATGTTGATGTACTTTCCCACAAAACGTTTAATGAGACTTTCAAAGTTGCAAATCACCTCTCCTATTTGGTCATTTGTCAAAGAGTGTGTTGCTAAACAGAACTGAAACTTAGTATCTAGCTTACTCCATAGTCTTCCAAAAATAGCTCAAAATCTTCTTGCCTATATTGAGAGTGATGACATGTTGGATCTCCCTCAATGGTGGCAACTAAGGAGGTAGAATATATGTCATAAAATCTTGAAACTCCTCTAACAATGGTCACACTTCCTCAGATATTGGTTCTTTTATTTCACTATCTTTTGACGCCACCAAGGCCAATTTTATTAGCGCTCTCATAGCCGACAAACATGTGGCATAGCCCACCAAAGTTCCTATAGCTGACTATTTATCATTATTCACTCTTTCAACCACAGAAGTAAAATGCAATTCATGTCCTTAATTGATGAGTAAATGTTTTTGTGGTCATCATGAAGTACACCCATTATATTTTCATGAGCGACCCAAAAGAATCTAACATGATTTAATAAGCAGAACCATCACATCAAGTATGATCCGACATCTTGTCTCCACTTGAAAATTCTATCAAATATATATTATCAACACTCATCTTCTCACTTTTTTTAACCAAATCACATAATATGTCGGAGACTACTTCTAGGTGATGGGACTCAACTTCTCAATTGTCTATTTATATATCTTTTTTTTATAATTACCTTCATCTATATGATGAAATTGCACACTTTTTTATTCAAGGTGCAATCGGTATGCAAAAGCTCAATCTGAAGGACCTGTCGGATTAGTTACATCTATCCCTCATCTCGGTGGGAAGCATATATTCAATTTTTATGTTTTCACCTTCTCTAGTGTTTATTGGGTCACTATTAATATTTTTCACTACTCCCTATACAATGAAAGAAATTACCCTCATATTTTGACAATCAAACAGAATGTGTGCCTAAAACACGATACTTGAAACACCTCTTGGCCGAGATGAATTTAGGACAGCTAGTGTTTCACATTTTCTCTATTATGAATTGATTTCTCCTCAAGCGGGGTCCACTTGACTGCTCCACTAGGCATAATTTTGCTGCTTAATTTTGTTTATAAGGTGTGGTGATCACTGGGTAATATTGGTGCGTCTCTATTTTCAAATCTAGGGTTCATAGATCGAGCAGAGACTATTACGACTGCAACTGCATCACATTACTGTTAGATAACATCTATCCTCCAAGATATCTAGCTTTTATATCATCCTCTAGTTCCATCAACTCACATTTCAACATTAATTTATCAAATTCATATGTGTACTCCTCCGCAGAAGAATCGCTTTGGCGTAGGTTGTGAAAGTTTATGAATATATCATATCAGTATTATGTTGGAAGATATTTGTAATGAATCTCTCATTTCATCTTAAGACCATGTGGTAATCTTAATCTTTTCTTCACACTGTTGAAGATGTTTCAGCTTCTCCCATCACAAAAAAGTGTTCTTCTTGAACTTGATGATTATCAATTTAATTATTTTATCATGGAGAAAGTTTTTATCCAAAAATATTTGTTCAACTGTTTGGAGTTATTCCGGATCCAAACGTCAGTCTAAGTCCGACAAATCAATTTTCACTCCAAAATCTTCATTCTTTTCTAATATTTCATGCCAAACCATCGGAGAATCAATTCTTTGTAACTAAAAACTTCATGGTGAAAGATCTATTACATCCCTATTATGGCTATGAGTGACCCCTCTGAGTTGTTTACTCTGAAAAACAACAAGCCTTTGTTGAAGTTTACGGATCTCGCTCTGTTAATCTTCCATCGTTCTTCGGGGCGCCTATTTACATGTTTCTCCTAGGCGGTATTTTGTCGTTTTCTCACAATCACAATTTTGGGGGGTGTAGGGTTGTGGCCCAAAGGTTGGTCGATGGTCGAGGGCTTAGGTAGGAGTAAGAGTGGATTTTTGGTGGAATAGAAATGTTGGGTTTAAATATATCAAGTGTGGGATAGGAATTACGATAGGAATGCCTAAGGATATGGCTGCAATTTTTTTTTTTTTTTTGGTGGGTGTTAGCTCATGTGTATGGATTTTTTAGTTGAAAGCAAGGAAAATTTTAGAGTTTTTCAGGCTCTGATACCAGATGACACAACTTTTGGGCTCCTAAAAAGTGTTTAAAAAGCAGATATATTGAGAAGATGGTTGTGGAATAGTGAAAAAATGATAATACATGACTTCGACAACATTTGTACCGTGGGCTAGAAGTCATTCGACGACTACCCCGAATGAAAATAGTGGAGAGAACCATGAAACGATGATGTAACCGTGAGGAGATTCACCATTTATTCTTAAATAAGTTACAGACACAGAAAACTCAGGGTAGAAATAAGAGGATACAATCTGCATACACAAAATAAAACTAAACGTTCTAAAAATAGCAAAATACAATAATAAATTGTCTCCTAATATAAAATAAACCTAATTAGAAATATACTAATAGAAAATAAACCTAAATAGAAATTTAAAAAAAATAGGGTAAGCCCAAAAAGGTAATGTTTCTACCTTAATTTGATATTGAGGCGGGAACTATTGGTTCATCGATCACGAGATCTCTTGTTTCCGATGTATTGTGAAATTCCCGCAATCAACGCCTCGCATCTCGCATCAACTAGTATCCACAACAAGTGCGCAAAAACTTGTCACAAATAGTGGATCTTGTTCTTAATCATTATGTGGTCACCAGTTGCTTGAAGTCAAGCAAGTCTTTCCCAAGAATACAAGAAAAAAAGTTCATCATCATCTCCCAAAATATTTTCAAATTCATCATCTACATTATAAGCAAGACATATGGGACATCTACTTGTTTCACACCATCCAATAATTGTAGTTGTAACCAATTTGGACAATCATTCAATCAATGGTCCAACATAAAACAAATAAAAGTATTTAGAGAAGTATAATATATTATATTTAGTATTTGTGGAGCCATTTTGCTAGCACTATCGAGTTGACGTTGTGAGCAACATAAGTTTGAGTTTGAGATTGGCTTTAGGATCAAAGAAGGCTCGACCATTGGGGCTAACAAAACTCCCTTCGAGACCTCACTGTTATGCTCAGCATATAGATCTAAAAATGTAGTTGGTTTTAACTTGAGATTGAGTTGACACTCAGCCTTGTATGCAAAGTGAATGGTTTAATCCAAGTTTTTCCTAAATTTTTCTTTGAGATCTTTAGATAAAAGTGAGCCACCAGCTACTTTGGCCATAAAGAAAGGAGCATCTAATTTAACCTTAAAATCACTTTAAAAAATTTCTTGCAAGTGACACCATAATTATGAAGATTCCAAAAGAGAGGTTCAACAATTTAGCTAACAAACAATTAAAGAATTAAAAAAAGAAACTGCTATTATCTACTAATATCAAATTACGGAATATTATTGAAAATAGAAAACATACGCAAAAAAATAGTAAAATAAGTATGTGAGGGAGCTCTTTGAATAACATCACTACATCAGCCCACTTAATAGAAAATTGTTAGATTTTGAGAATAGAGCTTCTTACTTCCATTGATAGGAAAAGACGTATAAATATATATTAGAAGACCTAAATAATAGGAAAGACATAAATTCATAAATAGACCAACTACGAAATACATAAATATGGAAATGAAAAATAAATGAAGAAAATAAAATCTAACAATAACTGCAGCAGTAATTAGCATAATAATTAGGCTAATAACTTTAATACTCTCCCTTAAATTGAAGCATAAATGTTCATCATGCTCAACTTGGTTCATGGGGCTAACAAACCTCCCTTCGAGACTTCACTGTTATCTTCGAGACTTCTTACTTCCAAACTTTTCCTAAATATTTTCTTTGATATCTTTAGAAAAAAGTGAGCCACCAGCTACTGTGGCCATCAAGGAGTATCTAATTTATCCTTAAAATCACTTTAAATTTTTTTTTTGCAGGTGACATCATAATTATGAAGATTCCAAAAGAGAGGTTCAACAATTTAGCTAGAAAACAACTTAAAGAACTGAAGAAAAAAACTGCTATTACGGAATATTATTGAAAATAGAAAACATACGCAAAAAATAGTAAAATAGGTATGTGAGGGAGCTCTTTGAATAACATCACTCTATCAACCAGTTGATAAAAAATTGTTAGATTTTGAGAATAGAGCTTCTTACTTCCATTGATAGGAAAAGAGATATAAATATATATTAGAGGACCAAAATAAAAAGAAAGACATAAATTCATAAATAGACCAACTAGGAAATATAAAACTAAGGAAACGAAAAAATAAATGATGAAAATAAAACCTAATAATAACTACAACAGTAATTAGCATAATAATTAGGCTTCTAATTTTAATACTCTCTCTCAAATTGAAGCATAAATGCCCATTATGTTCAACTTGGACATGAAGTCGTCAAGCAATATCCAAGAAAGATTCTTTGTAAGAATATATGTCAATTGACTATTCAATGGGACAAATGGAATACAAATCTCCCCTGAATTAAGCTTCTCCATAATGAAGTGTTTGTCAATCTCTACATGTTTGATCTGATCATGCTAAACCGAATTATGGGCAATGCTAATGACAGTTTTATTATCACAGAACAGCTGGAAAGAAGCAGAAACCGGCATAAACAATTCGCGGAGCATAAAGCGTAACCAGATAGCTTCGCAGATACCCAATAACATGGAGCGAAACTAGGCTTCAACACTGCCCCGGGCAACAACCGACTGTTTTTTGCTTTTCCACATGACAAGATTTCCCCACACTAATGAGCAATATCCTGAGGTGAATCGTCGATCATGAATAGCATGGCCCAATCTGCGTTTGTATAAACGGCAATAGAATAGCATGATGTGTCTTTTAAGTAGTGAAAGATCCTGTAGACAACTTGAAAATTGGGCTCATAGGGATCATTCATGAATTGACTCACAATTGATACTGCGTGGCAGATGTCAGGGCGAGTATGGGCAAGGTAAATGAGTTTCCCCAGAAGTCTTGTTCACTAGAACTGCAATGGGAACATTAGTTAATTCCTTATTGGGATCAACTGGAACAATCATTGGCTTGCATAGGAGAAAGTTATTCTTAGTCAATAGATTAAGTACATATTTGAGCTGCGACAAACAAATGCTCCAAGATAATCAAACAATTTCCATGCCAAAGAAGTACTAAAGTAATCCCAAGTTCATTTCAAATGAAGTAGCAAGAATATCATTCAGAGACTCCAATATTGGTAGATCATCACCTGTGAGTATAATATCGTCGACAAAGACAATAAGGATAACAATTTGGCCACTGGAGAAATTTTGAAAGAAGAGAGTATGATCTGATTAGGCCTAAAAAATCATGACCCATTACCACCTTTGTGAACTTGTCAAACCAGACACTTGGAGATTGCTTCAGTCTGTAGAGAGACTTCCGTAATCGACACACTTGTCTCCGGGAGAAAGTAGAGCCAAAGCCTGGAGGAAGGCACATGTACACCTTCTCTATGATATCCCCATTTAGAAAAGTATTTTTAATATCCAACTGGAGCAAGAGCCAATCCAAATTCACAGCAAGAGAAAGTAGGACCCAAATGATGTTAATTTAGCAACCAGAGCAAATGTTTCTTCATAATCAACTCTGTATATTTGTGAGTAGCTTTTGACGACTACTCGTGTATTGTTGTGTTCAAAGGATTCATTGGAGTTAAACTTGATGCTAAAAATCCAGAGGCACCCCACAACTTTTTTACCTGAAGAAAGATCCACAATATACCATTAAAGAATTCATCTAATACTCTCCCTCAAATTGAAGCATAAATGTCCATCATGTTAAACTTGGACTTGAAGTCACCAAACAATAGCCGAGAAAGATTCTTGGTAAGAATATTTGTTAATTGACTATTGAATGGGACAAATGGAATACAAATCTCCCCTGAATTAAGCTTCTCCATAATGAAGTGTTTGTCTATCTCTAAATACTTGGTCCGATCATGTTGAACTGAATTATGGGCAATGTTAATGGCAGTTTTATTATCACAGAACAACTGCAAAGGAACAGATACTTGCATACATAATTCACGGAGCATGAAGTGTATCCAGAGAGCTTTGTAGATACCCAAGGACACGGAGCAAAACTAGGCTTCAACACTGTTCCGAGCAACAACCGACTGTTTTTGCTTTTTCACATGACAAAATTTTCCCACACTAATGAGCAATATTCTGAGGTGGATCGTCGATCATGAATAGACCTGGTTCAATCCGCGTCTGTATAAATAGCAATAGAACAGTTTGATGTGTCATTTAAGTAGTGAAGGATCCTGTAGACAGCTCGAAAATGGAGCTCATAGGGATCATACATGAATTGACTCACAATTCCTACTGCGTGGCAAAAGTCAGGGCGAGTATGGGCAAGGTAAATGAGTTTCCCCAGAAGCTGTTGGTATTAAGTCTTGCTCACCATAACTGCATTGCGAACATTATAATTTCTCATTGGGATCAATTGGAACAGCAACTGGTCTGCATAAGAGAACGTTATTCTTAGTCAATAGATTAAGTACATATTTGCGCTGCGACAAGCAAATGCTCTGAGATAACCGAACAATTTCCATGCCTAATAAGTACTAGAGTGATCCAAAGTCTATTAAGTAGCAAGAATATCTTTCAGAGACTCCAATGTTAGTAGATCATCACCTGTGAGTATAATATCGTCGACAAAGACGATAAGGATAACAATTTGGTCACTGGAAGAATGTCGAAAGAAAAGAGTATGATCTGATTGGGCCCGAAAAATCATGACCCATTACCACTTTTTTGAACTTGCCAAACCAGACACTTGGAGATTGCATTAGTCTGTAGAGTGACTTTAACACTATTGTCTACAGGAGAAACTAGAGTCAAAGCCTGGAGGAAGGCACATGTACACCTTCTCTATGAGATCTCCATTTATAAAAGCATTTTTGACATCCAACTGGAACAAGAGCCAATCCAAATTCACAACAAGAGAAAGTAGGACCCGAATGGTGTTCAATTTAGCAACCAGAGCAAATGTCTCTTTATAATCAACTCCGTATATTTGTGAGTAGGCTTTGACGACTAATCATGTACTTTTGTGTTCAAAGGATTCATCGGAGTTAAACTTGATGCTAAAAACCCAGAGGCACCCCATAACTTTCTTACCTGAAGAAAGATCAACAATATCCCAATAATGATTCCGCTAAAGGGCATTCATCCCATCCATTACTACAGTGTTCCAGAAAAGATCAGCTAATGTTGCTTTAATAGTGGATGGGTAATGATGATTCATCAAGACAGTGGCAAATGTTTTGTCAATCGGTGATACACTGTGGAAAGAGATATATTTTTTCATGGAATAAAGAAACTTGTTTGATTACATACCTCAATAGGAGAACTCACCTCCTCTTTTGGAGTGGGGTTAGTTCTGGATTATCGTTCGGAGTGGACTTCAGGTCCTATAACGAAGTAGCGAACTCCAGAGTATGAAAATCAGGACGAGTGCGCCGAGTATAGAAATGGAGGAAAGGAAGAGCCTCTGGTTGTCTGGTAGATGGTAGATCTAAAGAAACAGAAGGGTTCTTGGATATAGTGGTTAAAGAAATATCCATAAGGGTTGGATAAGAAATGGTGTCTAAGAAATCAAGCTCCCCCACTTGAGGTAGTGAGAAGGAAGTAGGGAACACTTTCAAAGAAGGATACATCGACACTCAAATAGTGTTTATTTCTAGTAGGATCAAAACGCCAATAGCTTTTTTGAGTGGCAGAATATCTGAGGAAGACACATTTCATAGACATGGGATCGAGCTTGCAACGATTAGGAGCAGTGCTCCGAATAAAGGTCGTGCCTACCAAAATTCTGAGTTCAGGAATGATGAATAACCAATTGGTAGGAAACATGACGTCAAGATGGCTAAAAGAGTTAGGAAGTTATGAATTTTTGTGGGAAACCTATTGATGAGATAGGTGGTAGTAAGCGTTGCATCATTCCAAAACCTTTTCGAGACTACGACTTTTAAGAGAGTCGGATGACTACGAAGTGTTCCAAGATGGGAGCAGGTTGTACTGCAGCAGTGTCGTAATGAGACCCTTAGCAGAGGAGGATTTGGCTGACGGTTTGTATGTTGGGTTTCAATGGATTTTCCAATATTTGTCTCAAGAATATTTGGTTTTGTGACAATAATCACAAGTGAAGCCAGTGGCTCAAGATGGTATGAATGAGTGTTGAGAATTATTAATGACCAAGGCAGACGATTCGACTGAAGTGGAAGTGTCGAGCATGACAAGCCTTCGGCTCTCTTCACGTCGAATCTCTGTGAATGCAGCAGTGGAGGAAGGGGATCCCAACCAAGGATACGGCCCAAAACTTCATCAAGATATTGATTAATGCCTGCAAGAAATTAAAACATGTTATCTTTTTCTACAATCTTCTGAAATAGGGAACGGTTCGTCGAAGATTCTTACGTGTAGTAATAGTAGAGATCGCATTCCATCAATAAGGCCACCAAATCATTGAAGTACTAGGTCCCAGTCCTAGATCCCTGTTTCGCCCCGTGGATTTTATTGGAAACCTTATAAAGTTGGTTGGAGTTCCATACATCTGAGTAGATATCCCTAACTGCAGTCCCCAAATGGCACTTGTAGAAGGAAGAAACATACACAAACGACCAATCGTAGTCTCCATGGAGTTAATTAACCACGAAATGACCATGAAATTCTCCACTTCCCACATTACATACATTGAGTCAGTTTAAGGAGGTTCATGAATCATCCCCGTGAGTGTCAAATTTCCCATGTCTCTTGACGAATAAAGACAAGACTTGAAACCATTAGAGAAAATTAGATATGTTCAGTTTATGGGCGGTGATTAGAAAGTCAATGTCATTTTACGGTCCTCCGGTCTACGAATGGATTGAGATCGGTGTCAACCCTCCGATGGACTCAAGTGCACCGTTAAGAGAAGGCTCGATGGTGGAAGAGTCTGTCATGATTCCAACTGAGCCAAATATGATGATGGGTTGTCGAGACATCAGAAGATCCTGGAGGCTAGACAATAGAAAACCTAGCGGTTGTACAAGTCCCTGAAAGCATCAGCTGGGAAGGACGAGCCAACTGGAGAAAATTCAGGCGGGTGAAAAGGATCTCCGGCGGCTGGAAACACCAGCTAGCCAGCCGGGCGACACTCTATAGAGATCGACAGCTAGAGGCCTATGGAGGCAGAGGCGGCGCTGCTTGTAGAGGGGCTGCTAGTAGAGGCTGGAGTTGAGTTTGGCAGCAGGAGAAAAAAAACAGGGAGCACCTGAGGTGGTTGGCGGCAGAAGCCCTTCAGAGATGGACCTGCATGTGGTCGGCGGTTAGGGTGGAGGCTCTAGGGTTAGAACCATGGCTCTGATACCATGTTACATTTTGAGAATTGAGCTTCTTACTTTCATTGATAGAACAAGGTGTATAAATACATATTACAAGAACCAAATTAAAGAAAAGACATTCAAAAATAGACCAACTAGAAAATACATAAGTATAGAAACGGAATATAAAGGAAGCAAGTAAAAGCTAATATTAACTGCAGCAGTAATTAGCCTGATAATTAGGCTAATAACTCTAATAAAAATTAATGAACATGTTCACAAACATAAATGGGAAAGCTTATTAATTCATTATGATGAGCTTCAAAATTTGCTATCAAGCTTATTCAATTATATAAATAAACAAACATAAATAAGACTTAACTGTTTAGTTATTCATCAAGTGCACTAATTTACTAATAACTTACTCACCAACCACCTGCATTGCTAACGAAGGACCACCCTCTGTAGTACTACTGCCATGAAGGATGCTTAAAATTCAATCTCTCTGGTTCCCAACCTCCATCAGTTTCCTTCCGCTTCAACACACCACCTGAGACATGGAATAGTCTTGTCTGGTCCTCCATGAAGCTCTGTGAACTTGAAGCATGTAGTTGTCTTGAAGAAGACAATGGATCGTCCTTAAATTGCTCGGCACATCCTGGACCTGCATTCAAATCAAGACCTTGCCTAGCCCATTTCCTGCCATCAGATCCAATAGCAGCACCACCCTCTGGACGACTAACTGCATAGGGCCTTGTATAAGGGGAGGAAACAGCAGTTGTAGCTCCACCGAGCGATGGGATGTGAGGGAAATAAGAGCAGCCACCAGATGAAGAATCAACATAGTTTGTTGATCCAGGAGTAGCAGATGAGGGCGGTGGGAAAGTAGTGCCATAGGGGAGGAGTGCATAAGAAAATGTTGTAGAAGCCTGTGAAAAAGCCATGGCCGGAGAGGATGAGAGGACTGGTGCCCGATATATTTCACTTCCTAAAGCTCCAACACCACTTATAGGCCCCAAAATCCTCTGTGCCCCAGAAGCAGCAAAAATTGGGTAAGATTGCTCTCTATCATGCAAGAATGATGACAACGCAAAGCCTGGATAGGAGTTAAAACAGGGAAAACAGCCACTTCCAGGTTCGGTGTTATTCATTCGAATATGAACATTTGGAGGAACAGATTGCATATTATTACTATTTTTTGAATTTTGACTTCTGAAAAGCTGCTCTGTACCTGCATCATCAGTGCCAGGCCCACTATTTAGATCAAATTCCCTCAACATATTGGGATCCCCTTTGGAAAATTTTATTGTTGTGGGTCTTGCATGGACAGGCGGCACATCAAAACAACATTCAGTGCTCACCACAAACTCCAAATCTTCTGCACCTTCATCAAGTCTGTTCAAATCAAAATTCAATCTTCCAGCAGCCCGTGAAGGAATGTGATGGTCAATAATAATACCAGACTCGGAGCCTGTTGTCTGAGCAGAATTCTGTGAACACATGTCCTCAAGAACACTCTCATCTGAGACATTGAGATCAAACTCCAATAGAGGACGGCCTTTCTTAGCTGCAGAAGTGTCAGAAGATTGCACATCAGAAGAATTGAATGACGTCTCAAGAACCTTTTTGGGTTCTGCTGGACGAAATGCACTGGTGGCTGCTGAAACCTTCCATTTAATAAAATTTCAGGAGGCATAAAAAATCCTTTGGCTGGAGCAGCAACAGTTACAGGAGATGGCAAACGATTTACTATGGATGAAGATACAAGAGGTGAGGAACTTGGAATTTTTATTGCAGGGGAGAAATCAGACGCAGATGAAGAAAATGGTTCAGTTTGGTTCACATCATCTCCAAACATGCCTTCGTTTAAATCAAAATTAAGCTTAGCTCCCACATCTTGATTGGAGGTTCTGACGAATGAAGAAATCTCAGCTAAGGATGGAAGTTCCTCCTTTGTTTCTATCTCATCTGTGGACATATTTGCACAAGCCTCAACTTCCCTATGCTTCTCCAAAGCAGATTTTCCCTCTGTAGTCTGTGCGCCACAGCCCATGCCACCAGGACTCAAAGAAGATTCCAAATGTGCACTATTGTTTGAAGGGAGGGTGGCTGATCCATTCAATTCAGTCTGTTCTAGGCAATCTGATCTATCCAACATTTTACCGGTTAATAAATCTGCATTTTCAAGGCATTGTGCATCATTATCAGCAACAGATGAAGTAGGTGCACCATCGCCTTTTCTTTCCATCTCTGTTTCAGCTTTAGCAACAGAATGTGACTTTTGTTCTGTCAAGATAGCACCAACATGTAAATCCTTGTTAAAATGAAGGGATAATGATGATTCCGCAATCACTACCTTCTCAACATCTCCGCTAGATGCAGAAACCTCACAATCAATGCCATGAAACAATGATTTGCAGCCAGAATCAGAAGATAATTTCCATGCTTCAGCAGGGGAAGAGCTGCTGGTTTTGATTTGATCAACTGGACTGCTTACCACAGATTTGCAATCCGTTAAAGCTTCAACAACAAGCCCACCAATCCTCTTGTCACCCTTGTTCTGATTTCCATCTTCTTCTCTATGAAATTCTTCCTTTATATCTGCAAAGCAACAAACATATTAGCATACATGCTTCAATTTTTTTCCACAAGAGAATGAACGAAGTTCGAAAATGTCATATGAGAGAAAAGCATAAGTTCTTGTACGCCTTTGTCATCACCTTGAGAAATTTCAGCCACCACTTGTGTCTCATCCTTTCCAAATACAAGAACAGTATCCTTCCCATGCTTCGGAGAGTCTGAAGCAGTGATTTCATTGGATGGACTGAGATTTTGAAAACCATAATACACTGAAGAAAATCTGGACTTGGACTCATTAGTGCCAGTACAGGGGTCCACTGTTGCAAGGGAACCTCTTGGTGATGAAGCAGGAGATATTACGTTAGATTTGGGCATTTCTCCAGCAGCCATACATGGGAGTAAATTCATACCAATATCATCTCCTGATAACGATAATAGTGCTGTAGCTTCAGAACATTTAGAACAGCTTTCAATCAAGGCATTCATGGAGGTAAAAGAATCCCTCAACTTTGGTCCAACATCACCAGTAAACTTCTCATTATCAGATACTGAGCACATGGTTCTAGGAGTTTCCAGAACTTTCTCAGGTTCATCCCGTTGTTCTTCCTCAGGCACAATCACTGACAATCTATCACCCTCATCAGATCCAACAAGCCCCTCCTTAACATCATTGCTCTGCCATGATTCAGCATTTACATCCATATGAGTTCGAACAGCATCCTTCCTTCCAATCACCTTACGATCTCTGTGCTCAAGATTATCCAAGACACAAGGAGATGATGTTCTACTACCAGCTGATGGGTCATCCAAGGAGCCTCCGCTAGTGCTTCTTGCAGGACTATCACCTGAATTAGGAAGCTTGTCAATCAATCTGTGGCAACTTCCATGCTCTGAAGGCAAAACATCAACTGAGCTTTCACAGTAAAGTCCAGCTTGAGAGACCTTCTCACCTATAGTATTTCGAAGAAGAAAGCCTGATTTTTCTGTATTAGATTCTTTCCGCTCAGACAAAATATTGCTGGCTACATTCACATTGGTTAGCCTTCGATTACAAGATGAACCACCAATTTTTTTTCTTTCTGATCCGGCAGTAGTCAAGGAAGAACCGAAAGTCTTCCCATGATCACTAGAACAAGACTGGCTAGAACTAGTACTATTTTCTTCCTTAGCTGCAATCTGAGGCGGATTCAAGTTCCCGCTATTGATACCATCTTTTGAAGGAGAATCCTTTGAGATAATTCCAACAGGTGAAAATGAAGATGATTGTAGTTTCCCAGATCCCACAATCACTGTGTTCAACTTTGTAGAATCTGAGTGAACAGACTTCACAGATAAACCCTTGGATATCGATTGCTGAGTGATTGTGCTTTTCATGGATAACTCGTCAGATCCATTATGCCGATTTCCAGCATGAGAAACAGCTTCAGAGAAACCTGGTTTGACCTGCCATGTTACCGTTTGGCTACTACCAGCAGGTTTAGCATCACTCATCTTCATTTCTGCATCAACTCTTTTCTTCCATGTGTCCACTAGGCTTCTAGCTTTCTTCTGAATCTCCAAGTTCTTATGACTACGCAAATGATTCACAGACTTCCCTATATTACAAGTCTGAAGCGCATGAAGGTTTACAGGTAATTTATCTAGTGCTCTCAGCAAAGTCAACAGAAGCTCTTCAACAACAGCTTTATCGCTCTCTTTGGGACTATACCCCTCGCCAGTCTTCCCCTTATGTACATCTTGAAGCCATTCATCCAGAACAGCCACACCCCCAACCAGCATAAACTTGTTCAAACAGTCAATACTATTCGTAGAAGAAATCACATCTGCCAATAGAACCCGACCGGTACAATCTATTTTCTTACTATTACTGATTTGCATCAAATGAACAAGCTTTTCAACTCCATCACTGTTTAGAATGGCACCTTTTTCCAAAATTTTGGAGAGCTCGGATTTAATCATGTTGCTGTCAAAGACACAGCCAGCAGAATTACCATCATCGATTTCTGATGTGCGTTCTCGCATGACAGGGCCCATGGTCTGATCACCCCTAACCCACCTCTTCCCCTTAATTTGAGAAGCAATATCTGAACCAGATTTTAACTGTTGAGTCGATGATTGACCACTCGTTTGCTTTGGAGAGCGTCCTCCAGGCTGCACTGCTTCATGCATTTCTAGCCGTGTCTTATATAATAGCTGATCAACTTCCCCCTAATGTTCCTAAGTAAAATTGGTAATGCACAAAGACAGGTTCATTTTATCAAGATGACCATGAACTTAAACAAGATATATTTTGAAAGACAACTAAGATAAATGTAAAAAAAAGTAAACTAATAAAGTACTTAACTCTCAGATTTATAAAAACTTGAAGAATAATGCGAGTTGAACATCAAAGCATTTAGAAGACCATTTCAACACAATAGCATTTAATAAACTATTCAATATGGAATGTTTGAGCAGATGGTTATCAAAGCTAGCCAGTTGAAACACATAATGTCATGCTCGTATGAAGTAAAAACATTTCAAAAAGCCATCTATGTCCAAAACAAACATCATGAAAATCCCTCTAGCACAACTCAGCACGTAGCCAGCAAACTGCAAATCATGTTCGAGCTGTTTTTTTTTAAATAATTTTCTTCCAAATACATAATTTCATGCTCATATATGAATTAAAAACATTTCAAAAAGCCTTCGGTGTCCAAAACAAACATGTGCCGAGCACACCTCAACATGTAGCCAGAAAACTGGAAATCATTTTTGAGATATTTTTTTCTTAAATATTGTTTTTTTCCCCCAAAATTAGTGTAGGACATGATTAGGACATGTTTTGACATATAAGAGATGTGCCTTCACATGTCCAAGGCGCACAATGATGATTAAGTGTGCTTTCGCAATGAATTAGCTTTCAAATTATGCTTTTTATCAAAGATGGCGAAGGTTCTATTTCATAGGATATTGGTGTTGCAAAAAGTGTTGGATCCAATTAGTGAAACAATATGTTCATATTTTTTGTGCCTATTTTTCATTCTGACTTTTTTGTGTTTTGTGTAGATAATGTAGTATTGATATTGAAACAAACATTTCAAATGAATAATGCAGCTATTGGTGTATTTTTGAAAAAATAATAAAATGTAATTGTCATTAAACCATGTTAATTTTTTCTTAAGTTGACACTCAAGTACATATGTGATAAATATCACATAAAACTACATACTGTGAAGTTTCGTAATAGCAAATATTAATATTAGTTCTCCAGTGTCAAGCCTTTCACGGGTACATTTATTTCGCATTTTGTCTCTAATTGTCAAGCCACTCATCCACCTAAACATTCTCATCTCAGAGAAAGTTAACTTACTTTTATGCTTCCTTTTTAAAGGCCAACATTCTACTCCATAAAGCATTGCAAGTCTCACCACCATCTTATAAAATTTTCTAAGTCTAAGCGGTACTTTTCTATCACACAATAGGCGCGATGCATTCCTCAACTTCAACCAACTTGAATTCTACTAATAACATCCCCATCTATATCACCAACACTATGAATAAAAAAATTATTAATACTAATTAATAAACAATATTTATTAAATTTTAAACTAATAATTATATTGATAGTAATGACTTCAATTATATCATCAGTCGTGTATTATATGGCTAAATAAGAATTGTTTATCAGGGTTATTTTATTTTTGTTTATTTTAAGAAAAACCCTAGACGTCATTCCATAAACCTCACCAAAATTGAGATAAGGTGCACCTCGAAGCAGGCATCGCATTATATGAGGTGTAAGCCTCATGAAGTACCAAATAAGTTGTAAGTGAATTTTTTCAAAAAAAAAAAATTTGAGGCTGACCTCAAGGTGGGCCTCATATTGCGTAATTTTAAACCATGTCCATATGGATATACAAAATTATACAAGCAATGAATTTACTTTAAAATTTAGATTCAAATAAAATTAATTGCTAGCTCAAATCCACGTTACAAAGGTTAGCAAAATCACGTGAATATGACAATCTAAATCATTTGACCATTCCAAATTTTATAACCATTCCAAAGTCCAAATTAACTGAAAAAAAAAATTTTTGAAAGTAAGCATTTAACACAGTTGCTAATTTAACTGTACAAAGATTGTGAAAGTAATTATAGAAATAAAAGAACACTTATATGGTTTGTATCTACCTTGAGATATAAATAATTCTAAGATAATTGATATTGAGGCAAATAGCAGAAAAGATAGGAGTTAAATGCATATTGACCATATCAGAAAAGCATATAGGGTAATAGTAATAAAGCTATTTATGGAGCAACCAAAGAACTCTCAATCACAAAAGAATTTTGTCAAATAAAAGCATTTATTCAGCAACTTCTAAAATTTAAGAGATGCTACATATTGATAGCTAAGTAGATGTTATTTGTAAAAATAATAATTGCCCAAAGGACAGGCTACGTGTATTCTGTTTAAATGGATGTGAAATTCTTAGTCGTCTTATTGAATAATAATTAGATATGATATTTCAAATGCACTACATCAATTACAGAGGAGAATAAGATATGGATGCAGACATAACTACCATAATGGTGGTTAAATAAATATTATGCAAAATCAAAACAATATGAAGCATTAAAGGTTCATTTTATAAAATGCAATTAGACTAAAAAAGCTACTTAGATGAATTAAAAAGATGAAAAAAACCACTTAGACAATAGTGTGGGGCCCGGTTGTACTGTTAAATAAGCAAGAGTTTACACGTTATAAACGGATGGCAAAGAAGTTGGTCCATGAAAGTAATATTAGAATAAAAATGTGTAATATAGATACTCACAAGTAAAATAATGAAATTAGTATATATTATGGTTCATAGAAAGATAAATATCTTATGCATTCAAGAAACTAAATGAGTTAGAAAAAATGCTTAGGAGATTAATAGCTTAGGTTTTAATCTTTGATATATAAGTAAGAGTCATACTAAAAATGGTGTAGGCATAATTATAGATAAGTGTTTGAAAGAAAAAGTTATAAAATTCATAGATTTAGAGATAGAATTATAGCTCTAAAGATTATTATCGATATAAAAATTCTTAAGGTTATAAATGTGATTTAAATAAACAAGTTGGTAGGGATGAAAGAAGATTTTATACACATTCATGTGGCTATGATTCAAAGTGACGAATGCAGAAGATAGAATCATATTGGATTTACTTTAGTTTCTGATTTTGTTATTGCTACTATTTTATTTGAGAAAAGATATGAGATCTAATAAAATACAAATTAATTATTTTCTTATGAGAAAAATAAATCATCGAGATTGTAAGGATTCTAAGATAATTTCAAATGAATTTAAGTATCCAACATCAATTATCAAACTTGAATTTTAAGACGAATTGTTAAAGATAAAAAATACAACAAAATATTATCGTAGAACTATGGGGGCACCAAGAAGATACAAATAAAAATATTTTTAAGAATAAACTTTAAGATCTTAAGATTTGGGATGTTCATAAAAAATATAATACAATGTTGGATTAAGTAACGAGTACTGTTAAGTTGTGAAAAATGTGTTTGAAGAAACAAAATGAAAATTTCTTTTAAATAAAAAAATTCTTGGTCAAATAATAGTGTATGAGAAAAAATTTAAAATTTTGTTATAAAAATCGATATGAATATAAGAACTTAGAGAATTAGGAAAAATATAAGGTGACCAGTAATGAGTTTAAGAAAATAATTTGTGGGATTAAGAATTAAAATTTTAATATTTTTTATAATATATTAAATATAAAAGAGTGAAAGATATATATATGTAATCTGGCCAAACAAAAAGATAAAAAAAAAGATTTAATTCAAGTAAAAAATATAAAGAATGAAAATCAAAAAGTACTTTTTTTAGATAAGAATATTCAACATACATAGGTGAGATATTTTGATAAACTTTTCAATGGAGATTGTGAGAATACGATCGACTTTAGCAATCTTAATATTGCAAATAATAACAAAAAATTTTATTCATATCGTCGTATTAGTAAAACAGAAGTTATGTAGACTTTAAAAAAAAAATGAAGTGTGGAAAAACAGTATGACCTAATGTTATTCCAATAAGTGTGAAAATGTTTAGGTGAAATAACAATTGTATGGCTTACCATACTTTTTAATTTTATTTTAAAAATTAAAAAGATATTTGATGAGTGAAGAAAGTGTCTATTGGTTCCTATTTTTAAAAATAAAAAAATTGCACAAGTACGTGCAAATGAATTAAGTTAATGTGCCATACATTGAAGTTATGGGAGAGAATAATTGAATATAGGCTGCGACATGAAACAAAAATTTCTCAAAATCGGTTTGGATTCATGTTGAAGAAGTCTGCTATTAAAGTTATACATTTATTGAGAGGTTTGATGGAAAAATACAAAGAGAGTAATTAGAATCAGCGTATGATCTTTTTTTTTTTTTTAAGAAAAAGCTTATGATAAAGTTTCAAGAAAAGTATATGGGAGAGCTCTAGAAAAGAAAGGTGTTTATATTGTTTATATGTATGCTAGAGTTGTTATTTGTGTTCGAATACAGTGTGAACTGACCAAGTATTTTCCTATTTCAGTTGGATTACATCAGGGATCAACTTTAAACCCATATCTTTTTGCTATAGTTGTGGATGCTCTTATTGGACATTTACAGGAATATGTACCTTGGTGTATGCTTTTTGCTGATGATATCTTTCTTGTGGATAAAACTAGAGATAGTTCAAACTAGAGATAGTTCAAGAAAATAGTTCAAGAAAAAATTAATTTATAGATGTCAACTTTTGAATCTAAAGGCTTTCGTTTGAGAGATTTAAAATTGAATATATGAAATATAATGTTATTAATAAGAGATCTAGTGGTGGAGTTGTAACAGTTGATGATCAAGTCATTAAAAGGAGCAAACATTTTAAATATCTCGGATTTAGTGTTTAAAGTGATGGTGATATTAATGGGATGTTATTATTAGAATTCAAGTTGGATGATTAAAGTGAAGGAATGCATCGGGTCTATTGAGTGATAGAAAAGTACCGCTTAGACTTAAAAGAAAAATTTTATAAAATTGTGGTAAGACCTACAATACTTTATGGCGCAGAATGTTAGCATGTAAAAGAAAAGCATAAAATTAAGTTAAGTGTTGATGAGATGAGAATGCTCAGGCGGATGAGCGCCTTTACACTTAGATAAAAATGCAAAAAGAGTATATCCGTGAAAGGTTTAGAGTAGCTCCAATTATAGACAAGATTAGAGAGAGTCGCCTTAGATGATTTAGTCACGTTAAATGTCGATCAACAGATGACCCTGCTAGGAAAGTAGATGCTTTACATTTGATTTATGTTAAGAAAAGTAGATGCAGACCTAAAAAGGCTTCGACATGTTGAATAAAAAATAATCTTAAATTATTATAATTAAATAAAAATATGACACTCAATAGAACACAATGGAGAAAAATAATTCATGTAGTCAACCCCACATAGTGAGGTAAAGGCTTGTTGTTGTAGATATTATTGTGACGAAACAAAGAAGTGGGAAGTGATCAAAATACGAGGGCTATAAATGAAAATGCTCAAAATGGATATAAGTTGATGATGAATATAAGTAAATGAACAGAAACCCACAAGATGTGATTAATTGTTACAAGCTGAAATTATAATACAAAATTTCAATTTAAGCAATGATATCTCAAGAAAAGTTTTTTCAACCCTGTACCAAATGTTGTCAATCATCCAAATTTAGATGTTGGCAACCAAAATTCAGGTTTCAGTAAACACAAGCTACATTAACAAGCCAAAAACTGCAAATATATAAAATAGCATTAGCATCAACAGAAGGACCATCATTTGTAAAAATATTACACTCCCTTATGTGCCACTAGCCAATTCAATGCCAATTTCGATGGTTAATGGGTGATTCTACTAGCAAAACTACAATTTTAATTTGGTATTCCTTATGAAAAAATTAGTTCTTGTTCGCTAAATCTTCTTTTCTAAATATATTTTAAATTAAACATCTGCAAATTATAAACAACCGGTCAAAAAATTAATATAAAAAGAAATAAATACGGAAGATAATTTTAAATGCAAAGCAATTCAAGAAAAACTATTACTTAATGATTAGCATCCGTCTCAAAAAAACTATATAACCTACCCATCACACCTCTCGAAACCAAAGAACACCTGGAAACTAATATGCTAAAATCAACACAAGGATAAAAAGATGACAAAATACCACTTTTCTACTGAAAATTTTCCACAAATACTTCATCACTTCTTCAAAAACAATTGTTACTCAAAAACAAACATAACATAAAAGAAAAAAAAAAAAGCTGAGGGGTAAATGTAGTTTATAACAATCCAATGCATAAATATAAAAGCAATACTAAATGTATCATAAGCAAACATAAAGATCCAAATAAATCAAAAATAACAAAGGAAGGCTAGAGAAAATGAAGGTTATTAAACTTTTTTTTTTTTTTTTTTTTTTTTTTTTGCTTTTGAGGAAATGACTATCTTCCACATTTACCCTAAAAGTTATAGCACATAGATGACCATTGAAGACAGCAGGACCACAAGAAAACCGCTCTAACTCCTTCAAAGTAAGGATGGAAATTTTAACATAAAATACCCAAAGTTAGAGAAGTATATGCCAAAAAAAAAACACAAAGTTAACTATGAGACGGCCTTTACATGAATCCGAATTTATCAAATCACAGTTTATTTTTTTACAATAGATGTGTATCCTAAAATGATTCCCACAATATAATACGCAAGAAAATGGTAATATATAAGTATATAATACAAAGTAGAAAAATGGGTTCTTAATGAACCTCATAGAAAATGTTTGCAGCCTGTCACCACTCTTCACTCCTCCGGATTCATTTGTTAAACACAAAAATCAAAATTATAATAGAGAAAAGAAGCAAGACAAAGCCTTCATCAAAATTGGATCATCATATTGCCAATAAAAGTATGCACTCAAGAGAGGATTCAAAAGATGAACAGTGTTAATACACCAGTCAAGCATGTCTAGAAAATTTTGCTAAGGTTTGAGAGACATAACAAACAATATGAATTAAACAAGAAATTTTCTTCTCCATCCCAAAAAAAAGAAAACCTTGCCACTAAATTTATGATCCACCTAGAAGCATTTTAAATCAGCTATGAATAATAATAAGGAAGATTTACATACATAACACTCAATTCTTATGTATTTACATATCTAACACCAAAAATTCATATTTATTCTTTTAAAACCTTATTGTCATAAATCTATGCATGAAAATGTGTATCTATTCTTAAAAAGATACTGATCGTGATACGTTTGATGTGTTGTTAAAAAAATTTAGGGGTATGCATGTAAATATGAATGTTTAGGTGTTAGACATGTAAATACATAAGAATTATGTGGTATGTATGTATGTGGTAATGTATGTAAATGCCCCTATTAAAAACCCCATAGAAGGCCACCAAAGGTTCAATTAATTACAATTATATAACATCTAAAACCAAAACCAAAACCCCAATGCACATTTGGGCATCCAAAAATCCACATGGACCACAACCAAAACCCCAATTCAGATTTGGGTATCCAAAAATCCAGATAGACCAAAAACCTCCGCCATTGACGTATATTGCATTGGTCCGCTGCCTCATGTCATCTAAGGAGTTGTTTGTTTGCAAGTATTTAGAATTTGGATGTATTTTAAATACAGTGTAAAATAAATACAATATATTTAGATAATACACGATATCACATGGTTAATTGTAAACTAAATGCATGAAATCAAAATTTTGATATTTGGACCAAAAAAAATTGATGTCTGGTCAAAAGTAAAACAAATCAAATGTCTTGTTTTTTTACACTTTTTAACATTTTCAAGAATTTAAGGTACAGGATGGTGACAATAGAGATGTCACATCGGATGTAAGAACGAGCACAGAGAGGCAGCATGGTTGCAAGGAAGTCGTTGTGAAGCACAACAAGGTCAGCTGGAGGTCGTGGGAATGGCGAGGTCAGCATTTTAGGATACATTGCTATCCCTAAAAAATAATATGTGATGAATTCAAAACTCCTCACAAAAATACCTCGAATTTATTTTACTATCAACCAAACATTCAAAAAATTAAAATTCCAGCATTTGAAAAATGGTACACTCAAAACCCCTTCCAATCGAACAGCTAGTCCTTAGTGAAACCGCTTTAAACCAGTGAAAAAAAAAGGTACCTTTAAGAATGAATCGAGCGATGCTGAATGGAACCGGCTGTAGGTACTGGTCGTTATAGAATCATAGCCCGTTTCTCTCTTGCTGCTGTTCCGCACACAGGGGCAGTCCCCATGTAACACCTACGCTTGCTCTTCTCACCTTCCCGACCATGCATATCACTTTATCTTTCTCGCCGTTACCGTTTCCAATCCCTCGCCCTCCTCCCGTGAAACACATCAATATCTCACCTCTGAACAAATCCCCCTTCTTCCAGACCGCAGAACCAACTAGACCCGCTACAGCGCCGCCGAATTGAGGAGCCCTAGATCCGCTGCGTCCCTGCCCATCCAGGGAAATACGCCAACAAATAAATAGCACCAAAACCCTAATTCTCACCACGGCTCGAGAGCAACGGCCTACCGGATTGAATAACGCGATCCAGAAGGCGACGGGAGAGGCGGGCGAACGCTAACGGCGAAATCAACAGCCTCCAGAGAGATTTGGGTCGGCAAAACCGCGATCAGAGAGAGAGAGAGAGAGAGAGAGGTTGGTTATTTGAGATTACCCTTATGGCCGAACGGGAAGGGAGTACTTGCGAGAGGAAGATGGGCGCTTCTGGCAGCATGTTCTGGCTGGCAAAGCAGCCTGGGTTAGGCGTGCAAGGGTGAAGGGCGAATTCTCGTGCCATGCCAACTGATCTATGGCGTCACGGGTAAATGAGTCAGTTTACCTCTGCCACTTAAATTGTTTAATTTTATTAAGTTCAAGTTCGAATATCAAGCTTTTGTCTATTAATTCAAGTTGGCTCACAAGCCCACTTGTTTATTATAAATAAGTGAAAATGATATTAATTTAAACTAGTTTTATTATATGATGACAAATAGAATCAATAAATAAGAAATATATGATACAAAATCATACAATATATAATACAAAATATTACTTTTTAAATACTTTTGATATCTGTAATATAAATTATTGATAATTAATATATTTTGAGTATATTTTATATAAATATATTTTAAAAATGAGTTGGCTTATGAGCTAACGAGTCAAGTTGAGGCTGACTTTAGCTTGGTTTGTTAGCTCATCCAGCTCAGTTCACGAGCCACTTATCGAGCCAAGCCCGAGCCAGCTCACAATTCGGCTTGACTTACTTGCACCCATAGTGGAGTCAAGCGTGCGGATCATGGTGTTGTCATGTTAATTTTTTTTTTGTTTTTATTACGTTCGGCTCAACCGGATTTGGAAATCTCTTCTTTTTTGATAGAATTTTTATTTTTAAAAAATAATTTAAATTGTGATTTGCATATTGTTGTGTATCACTGTATCGAGGACAGTCTACAGTCTCTGGTATAAAAATTAGAAATTCATGTTAGAAAGTCAATAGTCAATATAATTCTTCTATCGAAAAATTATGATATGAATCATTCAAGTCATTTTGTTAATGATAGTGTATCACCTAAAAAGGATGTATTATATAACTCGAATTCAGTGATAAGTATGCATGAGCCATTGCACCGGTGGTCAGGGGTAGTGTTAAATAAGTAAGGTTTCTCAAATTTTGAATGGTTGTTTAAAAAAAAAGTTATTCCATGAAAATAATACTATGATAGGGACTTGAAATATAGATAATCTCAAAGATAAATTAATGAAATTAGTATATTATGATTCATATGATAATAAATGTCTTATGCATTCAAAAAACTAAATGGATTGAAGAAAATGTTAAAGAAATTGATAGCCTAGCTTCTGTTTTAATATTTGTGTAGAAATTGTACTTAACATGATGCATATACAATTATGGATCAGGGTTTAAAAAATAATATTGCTAATATTAATAGAATTGCAAGTGTAATTATAGCTCTAAAATTTGTTATTAATAATAAGATTTTTAATGTTATAAGTTTACATGCTCTTCAAGCAAGTTTGGATATATGCTAAAAAAAATTAGAATTGCTTAACATAATTAATACAAAGAACATTTTTTGAAAAAAAAAAATTTTGGATGGGATTTAAATGGATGTGCTCTTGAGTGGTATAATTTTTTAGAAGTATTCATGATCGCTATTATTTTTGAGTCACTAATGAAGAATATAAAGTCATATTAGATTTTGGTTTATGATTTTATTATCGCTAATAATGAGTAATTTATCACATATAATAATTGATCTAATAAAACATAATTTGATTATTTTCTTATGAAAAATTAAATCTTCGAGATATTGTATAATCATTCTAAGTGAAAGGTAGTCAGTGTCAGCATTTAGTATTGATTCTATATTTGAAAATGATGGATTAGAAGTTAAAAAATGTGATAAAATAATATCATAGAATTAGATGGGGCACCTCAAAGACAAAAAATTATTTTTATGAGTAAACTTTAGTATCTTTAGATTTGGGATGTTCATTATGAAGCTAATACTATGTGAGATAAAGTAATGATTACTATTAAACAAAAAACAGTGGTTGCGTGGGTTTGGAGAATCAAAAAGTTACTTTTTTAAGAATAAATAGTTTGTGCTGAAATAATACTATGCAAGAATAGATAAAAAAAAGAAATTTTATTATAAAAATCAGTTTAGATGTAAACGTTTGGAGAATTGGAAAAAGTATAAGATGAGCCGAAGTAAGTCTAAGAGAATACTTTTGTGATGCTAAAAATTCTGCTATAATTATAAGGTGACCCGTAGTGAGTTTAAGAGAACACAAGTAAAAATTGATAAAGTAAGCAATTAATTACAGTTTTTTGCAGGTGTGGGGTATCAGAGAACTCGTTATATCAATCAACGAATACGTTACTACAAGAAGACAACAAACCATGTAAGAAAAGGGTTTTTTCTTGCATTTAATCCACGCAATATCAAACTAGTATGTGTCACATATGCATATCACCAAAAAAGGCAATTCTAAAGAACCTAAAAAACTGCAACACCGAAAAGAAGAGAGGAACTCGATTGCCTTCATTAGGGTTTCACATGTGACACCAACCAATAACGACTAACTTGTCATCCAGAATAACACATAAAGTCTAACGTCTCATCATAGACCTCAAACCCACAAAAAAAAAAAAAACAAATGAAATGCAAATGGTAAAAAAAACACTTACAAATAGCATAAAAGATCAAAACAATTAAAATCAAATAAAAAAACAATTACAAATAGCGTAAAAGGCTTAAACAGAAATTGAATAAAATACAAATAATATTGAATAAAGTATAAATAATATAATAATAAATACTCAAATCACTCTCCTACTATGGCATTCATAATTTGTTTCCTCAACTCTGTCATCTTAATTGCACATTCCTCTTCCTTAGTACAGGTGGTGAAAGCATCATTATCAAACTATGATAAAGATATCTAAGATGTTACTCAAATGCCTCGATAGGTGTATGCTCATGATCATCGTCCGTCCTACGGAAACCAATGTAGTTGCGGGAAGGATGCGGCCGAATGTAATTGTGAAGAGCCACCATGACAATCACAATCTGCACCTGTTTGAGAAACAGGTAAAATGACATATCGTCGAGTATAACCAATTTCTCTTCCAAACACCAAAAGTCCTCTCAATGACGCTGCGTAATGGGAATGTCTTTTATTGAACATATTTTTTTTGTGTCTCGTGTTACATTGCATGCTTGCTAAAAGTTAGGTATTTGGTATCTCGTATCTGGTAAGGCTTGTGATACCCTCGCTGCAACAAATATCCAGCATGAACCAAATATTATTTACCTGATATGTATTCCATGATTAATATTGAGAGAAAATTGAATTATGAGAGTAACAGAGTCTTAAGCGTACCTGTGGGAAGATGCGAGATGTTGTACTTGTTATTCCGTGTTGCAGCTTTAAAAATTCTACCGTTGTGTGCACTTCCCTCCCAATAGGCAATGATAAAAGTGAAGCACATGTTGAAGTCATATACGACCATGAAATTATACGTTTGGGACCCACAATGGCCGATGAATGCAATCTTCTCATTATTTGGAACATGTGCATAAACATGTGTTCCAACGATTGTTTTATAACAATTTTGGAAAGATAATGATGGGTTACGTTATAACCCTTGTTTTTTTTTAAAATTGAATGTAATAAATTTAAGACATTACCTTAAAGAACATCATGTATCGTGCATCGTGTGAAGACTCTATGGGGTTAGTTCAAGTTTAAGATCTGTTGGTTTTATGACTTGTGAAGAAAAACTCACAAATGTCTTCAACTCCACTGAGTATTTGCAAATTGTTTCGGAGGACAGTTGAAATTGCTCCATTGCTCCTCACATTGATTCATCTTACGATAATATATAGAGGGTTATCGCCAACACCTCTTGCAAAGTCATCCTGCAAGAGCCATGAAACTCATGATTTCTGTGTAGTTCCTCCAACAAATCATCGAATATCATTTGTGTTAGGTAGAACATAATGTTAAATCTCATTAGTTGGCCCGCAAGCAACTTCCTAACTCTTTTTTCCCCAACATATGAAAATGTCATGCAAGGAGATCAATCTATGTATGAGTTATAATATTGGTACATTAAGCATACGACAGCTACAACTGTCATTTTGCGCCTTTCTCTAGTTTTATCCATGTAGATCAATATCGTATTCTTAAGCATGGTTGGAAGGACCCAGCTCCTCGATGCGGTCCTCCAGCAAGGGATGATGTCAGGAGGCAGCCGAAATGTTGTCGGATTTTCGTCTAAATGCCGCTTAAAATGAGATTTTTGTCTAAGTGTCGCTTACAATGAGTAATCCAATTGAAATCATTTGGACTAAAATGTAATCAAAATGAGGGGTCCTCAATTAGATATTAATGATTCAAATTATTATATAATTCATCTGCAAAGAACAAAATGAATATAAATAGAATTTGCAAAAGATCCACAGGAGACTCAACAACTCATCAACTAGCTTGAATGAAACCTCTGGGGAGTCAACTTGATCTCTCAATTGGGAGCTAAGCATGAGAGAGAAACTTGCATAAGGCCCACAAGGGGGACTCAACGACTCGTCAATGAGCTCGACTGAAACCTGTAGAGATCCACCTGAGTATTCAAATGAGAACAAAATATTAGAAAGATACATAATTCCGAATATACAATCAAAGTCTAGAGTCTTTTAATTCCCACCAAATCTGCAATATCAATTACATAAGTGGACAAAAGATGAAATTGAAAGCTTGAATGAAAATATTTGCACAAATCTTAATGATAATACCCCCATGCAAATAATAATAAGTTTGGGTCGTATAATATTAAGACAGAGTTCGAAAAGGTCAATTTCCCGATGAGGG